CATACGCCAACCTTCCTGAAAACATAACTCTTTTAGGCAAGAAAATTTTACTCGTGCCATCATTTTGTCTTTAACACTAGTTTTATTTTCCCCATTTCAAGGTATTGAATATATATATATATATATATATATATATATATATATATATATATATATATATATATATATATATATATATATATATATATATATATATATATATATATATGTAATCTTTACCATGACTACATCGTGGCTATTACAGGGTGTCAATTATACTTTAAGTTTAATTATCCCATATACGTTACAGAGTTGAGGTGACAACATATACCCAGTTAACGTACAAATTTCAGGTAATATAGCATACCGCTCGATAATTGTTCATGGGAGAGGGGAAAGCCGACTATTATCTGTCGAGCTTAGATAGGAGGACAATTGTTCTAGCTATTAGAGAACCATAAATTTAACAAATAAAATCACAGGCTCCTATCCCAGAATATGAAATTGATTGTCCCCTATATATTGTGGCATACTGAGGTACAGATATGGGTATTTGTAGTACAGATAAGGGTATGTCCAGAAATATCGCAGTACAAAATATCTCATGATACCCATCTCTAACACAAGGTGCATACATAATTCTCCGTTAAAGCCCCCTCCCCATATAATGGGTGAACCAGGCGTGATATCAATGAAATAAACTGTAACATTTAATCAATTATACAGTTTACAGATCTCGCTCTTCATACTTAAACCGCTGTATACGGGTGCTTATTTGTATGTGGGTGTGTGATTGGGCACGCATTTAGCTAATTTGAAACCATGATAAAGAGAAATTATTTTATAGGTATATATCAATCACATCTTTGTGTCAATAGTGATATTATAATTTTGAATCATTACTAGCAAACGTTTTTGTACAGTAGCATGTCAAAATTTATACACCACATGCGACCAAGGATTAATGGTAGAGTTCACAGTTGACAGTTGATCTGATTTCTTTCTTAGTAAACATGTACGGCAAGCGATCTCTGTTTAGGGAGTTGCATGCTTTGAAGAACTCGTGAATTGGGGGGAGGGTGAAAAAAAAAGAAAAACCTCTCCTATACAAGCGAAATAGATATATTTAGATCATACAATTCAGAATATTCCAATAAGCACGGCCTCCTTGACATCAGATCTCGACCTGTATAAAAAAATAGAACTCACTATACATGCATGATTACTCTCCAGTTATATAAGCATTTCAGGTATTAGTTTGAAGAAGTATGTATTGTCAAAATCTTGCCTGAAGAAAAGTCTTTAGTTTGATATTCCATCCTTATTTTGCTTCTTCACGTTGATATTATACCTAGAATGAGAATCCATATAGCGGTATCTGATTAGTTGTACAACAGCGATGACATAATAAAGCTATGGATGCTGTTCTTTTCATTCAGAGGTTGCAATAGTTATTTCTGAACACACACAAGCCTAAATCTATAACGATACGCACTGAAAATGGATAAGTATCTTATGCATGGATAGTTTGGAATTAAGGCAGTCGTTCAGTATTTTTCCTGTTGCTGACTCACGGAATTCGAGAAGGTGAAGAACCATGATCGAAACATAGCTCGTTCTTTTCCATAAATCAAGAAGAGGCTTAGCTTGTGCTCACTCAACTGATTTAAATCAAACAGAATTAAATGTTTGCCAGAAGTAAGGGTGTATTCCATAAAATAGTTGAACTATATTTTATAATTCCAGAATATTTAATATTGTTATCTTTACGAAAATAGTTCTAGATGTGGTGGTCATTCATTGCCTCTGGTTATATTTATATGCAACGGGAAAAGCGGAGTTGTACCGATTGATTTCGAAGAGCGATATTTACCTTTTAGACCTTGGTAAAATTACTGCTGCTGACGAAGATGGTTTCTACATTGTTCTTTCCCATGTTAGAGGAAAACAGGAAAAACATCATAAGTAGGACTAAAATAATTACAAAATTAATAAATCAGTAAATTAATAAATAACAGTCATCATTTGGCATACAATTTCAATTTTTAATTATGATATCGATACCTTGGGGCATTATAAATGATGATTCTTTATATGTGACATTTTCCAAAGTTGAAAAGCAGAATGTCTTAATTCCTTTTTTTAATCATAGAATGAAGATTGAGGGCGATTTCGTGCAACAATACAATCATACAGGCATCTAATTATGATGACAACGAACTGGAGAAATTTTATAACCATCTGCACTATATCATTGACAACTCACCCATGAAGAACACTGTTTGTATACGGAGACTGGAATGCAAAGAGGAAGTTGATTTACAAACAAACTAGCAAAGCACCTGAGTACCCTTCTGCAATGAAAGAGGACTCATGCTCTTGAAATTTGCTGCCTACAACATTCTTGTGTTAGCTAACATGAACAGCCCTCTAAAAGCATCTATAAGATGGACCTGGCACATTCCAGATGGACAACATCACAACCAGATTGAAAATAAAAGTCTGCACAGGACTGAATATCAGCAGAACACGTAGTTTACCAGAAGCAGATATTGGAAATGTCCATGATTTATTAATGACAACATTTAACCTCCACCTAAAAATTATCAAAAAAGCCTAACCAACCAAAAATCAGGTTGGACATTGAAAAATTGAAAGATTCAAATGTCTCAGAAGCCTTACAAAGAATTATAGGTGGTACATTTGCACCTTTGATAATCCTGCACAGACAAGACACCGACTTAGAGTCCTTAACAACCTCGTTCAATACAGCTCTAACTAGCACAGCTAGCGAGATCATTAGCAAATATCGTCGAACACAGAAACCTTGGGTCACAACAGATGCCTTGAAATATGCAACGAAAAAAGAGTACTAAAATACAGAGAGATAATTAAAACGACTAGTATTAGCAAGAAACAGGCAAAAGAATCCTGGATAGAAAGAAAGACAGTGCTGCAGAATCGATGATAGTGAGTAGAAATGACAGGAAAATGGCTTATCAACGGTGAAAGATATCACAATCCATAAACATGGGAAAATTACCACCATCCAAGACAAATCAGGAAAATGCCTCACAGAAGATCAAAATATCCTCAAGCGATGAACAGAATACTGCTAAAAATTGAACAGTCATTGGACCCAAGGAGATCCAGTAGTACTAAATTGCCCTCAGGCAGACGAAATTGATTTCACACCCATTCTTCTTGAAGAACTATAGATGAGTTAGGCCACTAAAGAAATGAAAATCAGTCGGCGTTGACAACATATCATCAGAGATCATTCAAGCAGGAGGAGAAGAGATAGTAACAGTCCTAACAACAATATGAAACAAGTTATGGCAGAAAGGAGAATGGACTACCACATGGGTTAAAGTCTTTTTTCATCGTGGTCCTCAACGACTGAAACCTACAGCTATGCCAAAACTACAGAACCATCAAACTGATCAGTCATCCGAGCAAAGTCATGCTGAAGATAGTACTCAACAGACTAAAGCATAAAACAGATAAAAGTTTTGCTGAAGAGCAGGCAGACTTCTGAGCAGGAAGGAGCACCACAAAGCAAATCTTCAATCTCAGACTCCTTTGCGAGAAATAATTTCATCAGCAGCAGAATCTTTATAGATTTCAATAAGGCATGGCATGCAGCATTATGGGCAACTATGAGGAAGTGCAACTTCAGCACAAATCTGTGCAGGTTGTTGAGCACCTCTCTATCAAATCCACTAGTGATATCCTCATCAATGGTAGCAAAGGTGATTGGTTTCGAACAACAGTTGTAGACAGACATACAGACATCTTCATACAGACATCTACACTCTCCAGCATTTTTCTGGAAAGGATTATGGAGGATGCCTTGCATGACCACAAGGACACTGTCATCATCGGAGGAAAAGCAATCACCAACCTTCACTTCGCAGATGATATTGATGGTTTAAGAGGAGATTAGAAAGAATTTGCTGACTTGGTCGAGCGCCTCGGTACAAATTCCACAGCATACATTATGGCGATTAGCGCCGAAAATCCGAGCTGATGAAAAACAACACCAGCGCCATCAGTGCAGACATAAAGATCAGTAGACAGAAGCTGGAAAGAGTCACAAGCTTCAAGTACATGGAATGGAATCAATTATCATGATTGCCCAGAAAACATGTATGTTCACGTTAGAGCTATAAAAGGGATTAAAGTAATAAGGTTATACCGCATATATTAACCATATAAACAATGAAGAAGTCTACAACAGGATCCAATCAGCCTTCGGATCCTATGAAAACATCTTTACGGCTGTAAAAAAAGGTACAAACTGAAGTGGTACGGTCACGTCTCAAAAATCATCTGGGTTGACAAAAACAATCTTGCAAGGCATAGTGCGATGGTGCAAAAGAAGAGGCAGACAGGTAAAAAGTAGGAAGACAACAATAATGAGTGGACAGGCATGAGATTTGGACATTTCAAAAGGACAATAGAGAATAAGGAAAGATGGAAAGAATTGGTTGTAAAGTCAACTGTGGTACCCCCAACGACCTCTTGGGTTAAGGGATGATGATGATGATGACGACGACGATGATGATGATGATGAAGATGATGAAGATGATGATGAAGATGATGGGGAGGAGTAGGACGCAGTTTCAATCTGACAGATAAACATTTAAGACCTAATTGCAAACCAGGATTTTATTGATGGAATTAAAGATCCCGTCCACGTAGAAAGACTGTGATGAATGAAATTAAATAAGTCACTGTGTTCAAATGAGCAATATCATGCATGGTGAATTCACTCTGTCTTCTTCAAAATGTCTCCTGTTACAAAAAAGTGTTTACAACCTTATGAAAATCCGCAGACGTAATGTCAATGTATAGAACAAGAAGTTGAAATGATTCTCCTTGCGTGTTAATACAAGCTAACAGAGTCGACCATGGAGGATTTGTACGACACAACTTACCACTGACACCAGAGTATTCAAGGATAATGTGCGGAAAGTTGGGAACAAAAATACGATTGATATTTCAAAACAGATCACACCGCTCCGGTAGCCTAGTGGTTAGAGCGTCTGCCTCAGATGCAGAGGGTCGGGAGTTCGAACCCCAAACGAATCATATCAAAGACTTAAAAAATGGTACTAACAGCTGCTTCGCCTGGCGCTCAACATTAAGAGGTTAATGTTAGGACTGTTTGATCTGTTGTCAGGATAATGTGACTGGGTGAGACATCATGACATGTCTGGCGCATGATGCTCCAGTGCTAGACATCATTATAAAAATCACACTGCAGACATCGTAGCGGTATGACTGAAAAATTGTTAAAAGCTACATTAAAAATCTAAATCACACACACACACACACACACACACACAAAACAGATTGACATCTAACCCTTGAGGAAATACAAATGCATTTCAGTTGTTGAACGAAACAGACAAATCTCATGGCGAACAGATCAAATATATCTATGTGTATACAAATATTCTTAATTTCCTTGCGATCACTAAAATTTTGACACATCCAAGTCATTATTCTAACCGACAACGTGACTTAACAGAAACGTGATTGAATGTCGGATTATTTTATGCCTTCGATCGTGGATACCAAATACAAAAGATTCACGTAATTTGGTACTTTGCTTGCACAGAGCAATAACAACAGGACAACAGCTTGATTCAATCGACTTGTACATCAACGAATTTTGCAAACTGTAATAAGAAATACACGGTTTTCCTTGCTGGTGTTACATTATTAACAAATATACGATTGCAAACAATTGTACCGAAGCGCAAAAAAGATGCTTAACAAACATAAAAATACACGAAAACTTTATCTTATGCCTAAGTAGTGAGCTCTCGTCGTCTTTCGTCAAATCTAACGCGAAAACAAAATAATACAGCGTGACCAAACTGACAATGGATGCTGCGAATGGCCTTCCTGCCAAGGTTGGATTATATCTATTAGTGTCTTGGGTTATAAGGATCACACGCCAAAACATACTCTTGGCCCTTTTCATATGAGTTTGCCGTAAATTCTTATTGTGTTCATTAAACCATACTGATGTTAAATTCAAGATTGCGGAAGTAATGTAAATTTCCTAGTTTATTCATGGTGATTTCTGACGCGGTGGCATCCCATTTTGACTCATCGGTAACACCAATTAAATATATTTTTAACTGTATTAATTTTAATACGTCTTTTCTCATCATCATCATCATCATCATCATCATCTTCTTCTTCTTCTTCTTCTTCTTCTTCTTCTTGAGAATTTATGTTCTTTAGATATTTTCCACAAATAATAATAATAATAATAATAATAATAATAATAATAATAATAATAATAATAATAATAATAATAATAATCAAACCTAGAATAAAACACAATTCAAGGGTAATGTCAAACCATGCCAGCATAATGAAGTGTGTGTGTGCTTGTGTGTGTGTGTGTGTGTGTGATTTTCTTTAGCAATTTCCCAGTCATATCACAACTATACCTGCAGTGTAGCAGTTTACTACAACTGTATATTACTTTTTAAAAACAATTGTACTTTTACAAGAAACTGCAACCCCATTGTGCTATCAAATAAATTTCCATTGTATCAAAAAGTCAGCAATTGTTTGAGTAGGTTTTAAGTTATACTTAATAATCAAATTTATATTTTCCGAGTATACTAGAAAATTCCAAGTGTTTCTTAAAACATATAAGCCAATGCAGCAGATTATGTGTCTGATGATTTACACTGACACAAAAAAATATCAGTGAGGAAGATGGGAGCCTCGTTTTGATTCAAAAGGAATAAACAAATAAAATAGCTAAACGAATATCAATATGACCTTGAGGATACCTCCAAACTTTTGTATAAATTGTTATCAACCTCTCCGCAAAATCCGTTCATTCATCGAGAATCAGAAAGCCCTTTTTTCCTTACAGGTAAGCATCGTCTGTGTTCGTAGACATCTTTAACGTATAGCGACATTTTAATGTTTGAGTTTTTAACGGTAAAAATTCAGTCTAGGCTCGATATTTTTGCAAACATTTTGTGAGTTATTTTCTTTTTTAGAATATAGCTTATTAAAATGTTTAATTATTTAAAGAATTTATATGCGTTTCCATTTATAGTATTTATTATTGTAAAATATGCATATTTGCTACTAACTTCATGCTAAGTAAGATTTAGTTTGGAAATCAAATATTCTTTAACTAATAAAGAACATTGTTTTGTATTATATTCCAAATTAATATTCTGATTTAAAATTAGTATAATACATTTCTTCAAAATGATTATTGCATTAATCGCAAATATTGAATTTTATATTTGATGGCTATCATGATATTAGTCGATGTTAAATTAGCTGTATTATATTCTAAAAGTCAGAAATTCTACAAGGAAAGCTGCAACTGTCTATGTATTTCTTGGATTTTAGATATATCGTTTTTGTAGATGTATCTGTAGATTATATATACATAATATATATAGATTATATATATATATATATATATATATATATATATATATATATATATATATATATATATATATATATATATATATATATAAATTATTATTACTACTATTAATACTATTGTTGTTATTACTACTTCTATTATTATTATTATTATTATTATTATTATTATTATTATTACTTGTAGTAGTAGTAGTAGTAGTAGTAGTAGTAGTAGTAGTAGTAGTAGTAGTATAAGTTTATTTATGAAAATCAGAAAGCATATTTTCCTTACAGCGATCTTGTTACCTTTCGTTCAGCCATTCCCCAAGATTCTCTCTGTCCTATGCTCTAACCACTAAGGCCACAGGAGCGGTTAATAGAAGGGATAAATGGTTCTATGAAAAGGAAGAATATGACACTGGTGATAAATACGATTTGAAAGAACGCAAGAACCTTAAATACTTACTGAGAAAAAGATAAGTGCTCGATCCACCATGTCCTCCTCCCACATAGACAGGAATAAATGCACCATATCCGAAGCTAGACAATGCCGATCCCAGCACAATGATCACGCCAATGGAGATAGCAGTTAAGGCTTTCATGTTTTAACTAACTAAATAAATAAATAAATAAATCAATAAGTAAGAAAATAGATAAATAAATAAATAAATAATATTACAACAGGGAAAACAATGTACACTTCTATGTTATATCATGACATAATCTCTGTATCATTGTCGTATACCCATGAATTTTAAACTTTGACCTGATTAATTTTGAAACATGAAACATTAATCTGTGTGAGGTGTGTGTGTGTTTGTGTGTGTGTGTATATATATATATATATATATATATATATATATATATATATATATATATACATACATACATACATACATACATACATACATACATACATACATACATACATACATACATACATACATACATACATACATACATACATACATACATACATACATACATACATACATAGTTTAATACAAACAATACTATCATACAGATTAAAAAAAATTATGTTTGAACTCTACGGAGTTTCGAACACGGTTCTGCGAAAAAATGACACCCATCGCCTTGCCTAAACGTACCAGTACATATACCGCCACGAATTTCACGCATTACCAAAAAATGATGGCACTGAGTCGATGTTGTATGAGCTCTTGGAGTACGAATTTAATTTATCTAACCTGTATGATAGTATTGTTTGTCTTAAACTATTAAATTCTACCCACTATTATCAAGATTCTACTACAGAATACGGGGATTGAACTGTCTGTTCTGTCTAGTATATATTTATAATTCTTTGTAATAAAAAATACTAAATACCTTGATTTCTTTCATAGGTAACTGGAACGAATCTATCTGTGTGTATGTGTGTGTGTTTGTGTGTGAATTATTTACTAGGTCGTCATGCGAGAGTGTCTGCTACGCACGAGCTCATATCACAGGTACACATTTTCGTAAACCCTTCTACCCATAATTGAATCTACCACTATATATTACAAATAACATGCTTGCGACTTCGTGTGGTTTTAGAGATATGGAAACACACACACATGCACAACACAAACACACACACACACACACACAAACCCAAGTCAAACCAGACAGCATGCATATAATCTAATACTTGTTAATGCACACTAACACAGCTGGTACACTGATAACTACATATCATGTAATACATGTTAAGTTACACTAACACAGCTGGTACACTGAGAACTACATATAATGTAATACATGTTAATGTACACTAACACAGCTTTGTACACTGACAAGTACATATTATTTAATAGGTGTTAATGCAAATTAACACAGCTGGTACACTGACAACTACATATCATTTAATACATGTTAATGTACAGTAGCACAGCTGGTACACTAACAACTACATATAATTTAATACTCGTTAATGCATACTAACACAGCTGGTACACTGACAACTACATATCATTTAATGCACGTTAATGTACACTAACTCATTTAATACATGTTATTGTACACTAACATTTGTTGGTATACTGCACAACAATGTTGCAATGTTCGATAATGTATCCCAATACAGTTGGTATACTGCAAAACTAAATGTTTCACTGCTTGTAAATCTAAACTAACATGGTTGGTATACTGCAAAACTTCATAAATTTCAATGCTTATTAATTTACACTAATATACACCATTCCGAAACGGAATAACTACATGTTTCAATTGTTTGTTAATTTACACAATCACATACATTTCCGAAACTGGATAACTATGTATGTTTAATTGCTTGTGCATGTATACTAACGCAGTTGGTATACTGCAAGATTAAAAGTTTCTTTGCTTGTTGATGCACACTAACACAGAAAATTCCTAAACTGGATTGCTCCATATGTTTCAATGATTTTAAATTTGTACTAACACTGTTCCGATACTACGTATATACTTTGCTACTTATTTAATCTAGTCTTCATTTCAAACTACATGAAAGAGTTAAATTCGGACCAAGCTGAAGTGGAAAGGTTGTCTTTTTCAAACATACCATTGACACCCTCTATATGACATTATTTGTCCCTTTCAATCTGGAATTTGCTAGTTTTGTCACTATTTTCGTGTATTCACTCTCAAAAACTGATAAACTCGTAGCTCAAACATAATTCATGGAC